TTCTGTGTGAACACTAATAGTGACAGACGATATCTGTATAATGATACCGTAAAACCTCAAATGACATTATGGGCTTAAACTCGAGAAGAGGAGAAACCCATTTCAAAATTAAGTCCCCCACCTTAGTTTGCAAAAGTAATCTGAAAAAAAAAATCCATCTCGAAAAGAAGCCATAGGATTTTTTCCGAGATAGTTCAGTTATGTCTACATAGAGCCTATATATTGTACATGAATTTCAAAGCAACATAGCAATTTAATTTCATTTTAAAAAATTATATGTTGCTAGTCCATTTTTTGTAAGCATCTGTTAATAAGCGTTTTCAGCAGATGGGTTAAATGAGACGTTAGTTAGATCGCAGTATTCGAGAACACTTTGGGATCTACAACCACACAATTTTTTTTATAAATGTCTTCAAACACACCAATTGCTAAATGTGAAAAAATGCTACTATTAGAATATAAAACATAAGTAACTACGAACCTGAAGAACACTCAAGCGCCACATCTTGACTATGACCACAGTTATGTACGCCTATGGTTGAATGTGAACACCACGGAAGGCTGGACTCTGAACCACTGCAGTCAACATTATCTAAAAAGATCCGTTGATATGTATCTCCTTGGTATCCAGAACTGATGAGGGACTGCAATGGATATCCATAGCCTAGCTGATTACAAACCACACGTGCGTTATTATAGTCCCATCCATCATTACACACCGTTCCCCATTCTCCTTCATAATAGATCTCAAGACGACCTTGAAAATCTGCAATTCCATCAGCTAGTCGGACTGTAAAATCTGTATGAACATCAAATCAAATCAAATATTTTTTAATCATCTATCATGTAAAATGTAAAAAAAAAACATTAAAATTGTAACTGTAAATGTAACTTTTAAAAAAATGTAACTACAATTATAATTACATGAAAATTAAGTTACCAAAGCAGCGGTAATAAACTCCAATAATTTAGTATATAGGTGGTGACACTAAAATTTAGATTTATTTATTGACCACAGTAAATAAACGTAAGTATATTAGGCCTATTATTATAGCAAACGCCCCAGGACATTTTTTGTCTTGACGCCGGGATATCTCTAAGGCGTTTTGGGCGATCAATAATAATGTTTTACCCTCTTTTTTCGCGTTTTCTTTTACACTTCTAAATCCTGTTTTTTCACCTTAATATTCGTAATCGAAATGTCAAAACGTACCACGGAGGCAGTTCCCCAACAACAGATGAGCCAGCTTTAATCCACCTCAGCCAACCATGTTTCATTTTAGGCCATTCGTTACCGTTTTATTATGAACCATTTTCAGATCAGCAAGGTTAAGAAATGGGATACTGATGATTTAAGGAGACGCCGAGGTAATATCTAACATTATTAATATTCGTTATAGAGCCGGATTCAATCACATCAATCGAAACATTATATTGGTAACACTGAAAAATGATTTTGATGTCACAATTAAAAAAATATAAAATGTACAATTATAGACTTTAAACATGGAGAACATTCAATCGCTACGTCCTCAATGTGTGCACAGTCATGTTCACCTAACGCTGGATGTG